CCCCCCCCCCCCCTCACGTGGAAGCACCATCAAAAGAAGGGTTAGCATGGCTGCTGCCTGAAGCATCCATTCTAAACAGATGCAGCAGTTACAGGGAGAGCTGGCAAATTGTTTCCTTGTTCTGGGAAGTGCCTTGGTAGACGCCAACTCTTATGGCAGGTCGACTCCCCAGACGAGTCTTCTCCCTCTCCTTCACCTGCTCTGTCTTCCCTCTCATCCCTGCTGCCTCCCCAAATTCTAACCTCTAGAACCATGGATCTTAATTGCCAATGTAATGGCAACAGAGGGGGCTCGCCCTGTGTCTGGCACTGTTCTAAACCTTATTCATATGTTTCTGCACTTATCCGCACAACAAACAACCTTTTAAGATGGACACTTTTATTACCCCCTTTTCTCAGGGGAGGAAACTGAGGTGCTTGCCTAACGTAAGTGACCCGAGCATGTATACTTACCTGCTCTGCCAGATTGCAAGGCAGGAGCCCGAGCTGTGTGTATCTTATTTATTTTATTAAATGTTGTGATAAGGAGCACATGGGCATGCATTAGAAAGAGACAGGGTGTTGTCATGCTCTGATCCCCTTTCCCCAGCCTTCTGGCTCCTCAGGATTCTGGGCACTCACGCTCACACACGTGTCCTGCATGTTTTCAGGCTGACCCAGGCATCTGAGCCTTTGGCTGGCCATGTGACTTCCAGCTTTGTACTTAAGTTTGCTACTGATTGTGCCACTAGGCTGGGCCACTGCATGTTTTGTTCCCCTCAAGATGTCAAACGTCTGAAATGTTTGCTAAGCTAAAATGGCCCCTGCCAACACTCCTAACCTTTCTGTGTTCCTTTAGCATGTGTGTCTTCCTAATTCTCTCCAGTTAGCCTTTTCTTCCCTGAGGCAGAAATCTCAGAATGTCACTATCTCTTCAACTATAAGTGTTTTTTTATTTTAGTAAAAGGAGAGAGTAGAGGCATTACGGGTAATGCAGAACTTTCAGGGAACAACAAAGAGAAGAAATATGAGAGAGGTCACTCTGTAGCCTAGTGGTTAAGGGAGTCAGGTCAGATACCACAGGGTTCAAATCCTGGCTGCAGTGACTTGAAAAACACACCAGGTACATGTGCATGTGTACCCCAAATCCCAACAGGAGGGAGAAATGGAGAAGGGATTGCAGATGACCACACCCCATGGGGAGTGCTTTCTCCCCACACACACCTTTTATTTTCTCTTTATCTCAAGTGCATGCACTCTCTTACAGCTAAATATGTAGAGAGACATGACCATCC